GTTGGATTTGGGACTTCTTCCCCTTTGTAGGTGATTTGATCATTTATGCATTTTGGAGAGGTCTTCCTCTTAAGGGATTTAATTATTTCATATTACTTGTGATGCTTGAACATTGGGCATGATTTTGTTTCCAAGAAGAGGAAAGATTGATGGTTACAGTAAACAAAATTAGCTAGAATAGAGGAGGGATGATTTCTTCTTTTTCTTTCCTAAGTTAATGGAATATTTTCATAAAGGTTTTCTCTACTTTCTTCTCCTCATTCTTGGAACTATACATAAATATCTCATGCTTTCTTTCATAAAGAGGGTAAGATTGCTTTCTTCCTTCATGAGTTGTGAAAAACTTTTTCACATCACCTTAAGGGCTATATATTAATACAAGTCTCTCATTCACATATGGATCTTATGGCATGCTTTAGCTTAGGATTCTTGGATAGTTTTGCTTTAATGGATACATGCACTAATATAGTAATTGAATGGGAGGTATAATGCTATGTGCTAATTTAATTCTTGTTAAAGATAAGTGGCTAGATATTTGTTTGCATATTTCATTGCCTATGGAAATTATGGAAGATGAAGAAAAGATGCGAAACTCTTGGTTTAGTTTGTTTTCTCGTATCACTTTGATGAACTCATATTATAAGTATTATTGAAGGATGGGAGGGCTTTCTTTGGAAGCGATATATTCACTGTATACATGAATGTTTAATTTAGTTAGTTATGAGGCTTATATGGGAGGATATGTTTCAATCCAGGGATACCTCCTTTATAAGCCCCGTATATACAAGAAGAAGATTTCATCATTTGGAAAATTTATATGCTGAACATATGATTCTTATGCTGTTAAAATTATATATATATATACTTGAAGTTTTATATGTATACGCATACCATTCAATTCCTATATATTACATATCTAACATCTAAACTTTATTTTTATCTTTTACATTCATACCACCTGTATCTTTCATTTCACAATATTTTTTACCTCTTTCACACCCAAACATAAATGTATGCATGCAGTCTTTTCACTTAAATTCTGAACTATTTATACTTGACATTCAAAATATAGCATTTATATGCGAAGTTTCTCGATATATATATATTTACCCATGTAATACTAAAATTTTACATTGTTGATTTCCTCTAATCCCGCCGAGATTGGAGGTTCTGAATTCCACATTACTGAAGATATATATGTTTACAGACTTATCTTTCTAAAAGTAGGAAGTATACATGTATAAAGTTTTTTTGGCATTTTATATTTACACATATAAGAATTGTTTGGTATGTATGTACATGTAAATATTTGTTGTCTATGTTTCATGACTTCACAAGTCAAAGATTCTAGCAGTAAATGATTTGGGGGATGGTTAATCATTATGGTATACATGTCGAGTGGCATGTATCTAAGAAAAATTGAAAGTTTAAATTTTAGATATGTAAATACATAGGAACTGAGTGGTATATATGTAAATCTATCATTCTTAATGAACTTTATTCATCTTCAAGATTAATATCTTTTAGGGGTATTAACATACATACCACCCAATTCTTATGTATTTACATATCTAATTACTAAACTTTACCTTTTATGTTATAAATTGAACACTGCTCTTATTCTTCTCATTTAAATTGTTGAAAGAAAAACATATGGATTATCAAAGTTGCTTATAAGTTGGAAAACATGGGTTAAGGGCAATGAAGTATAACGTAACATTCATGTTTATATAGCTAAAACTTTTTAACCAATATTTGATTAGTAAGTTGCCCTTTTCATTCATATAGGTTGTTGGTAGCTCTAAACCTAGCTATGGATGACTTGTGAACTACTCATTTATAACATCAAATACTGGAAATTTGGAGACTACAAAATTATAGAAACATAACATATAGACATATGACACGTGGCTGGGGATTCTTATCTGTTCACTTGTCAGGCCGTTGGTAGGTATTTGAAGTTGCCCAACCTTAAGGAGTGTTTTGTTAACGGCTGCTATTCGATATTGGTATATAGACTTCGATACTTCAGTTGCCTGTGGGATTGTGACAAATGAAAAGTCTATAACTGAGCCCATCCCCAATTTATAAATTCTTATAATCTATTTTGATTTTCCATATGCGTATCACTTAACTTTTATAAAAATATACATGCTCAAGTCTTTCATATGTAAATTACAAATGTTTATCTAACCCATTTTCTCTTACATACACTTGTATTATATAATTGTAATTTATTTTATAGCATCATCAGAGATGACAGGTAAGCACTGACCTTTCTATTTTTACTGCACTTTACTGTACACATTTGTTCATACTTGTACTATTATCATTGTTGCTACTCTTTACTGCTACTACTCTTTATTGTTTTTTACTCTTTACTGTTTTTCTGGCATGTTTATATAGAACCCTAGAATGACAAATGTAGAACATGTGCTCAGAATTAGAAATCTATAACACATAACCAAAATACATTTTTTTTTAATTTCAAGACCTTTCAAAATTCCATAACAAAAAAATATTTTCAAAACCACAAATAATGTTTGAAAATATTTTTTTAAACTTCTATAAACTAATAATAACATAATAATAATCCACTTTTTTTTATTTACGAGGAGTCCTCGGATGAGGTAACCTACAGTTGCTAACGAGAATTCTCCCGGTCTAAATAAGTTTAACATCTTGTTTACACTAAATAAATTCAAAATTATCAGTGATACCGAAATGATGGAACTGTGGGATCTTAAACGATATCGCTTAATATAATTAAAATATTCCGCATTTTCCTTAATTATTTTGACATTGACAAACACCAATTCAAAATACATTATACAATAACACATTTAATATTTGTAATAAGTTGTTTAAAATTTATTCTCTTTTATCTCCCCATTCTCGGAACAAGAAAACAACGCAGTCAAGTGATGATTCATCTCCGAACATCGGTCGAGACGACAATAGAAAGCGGAAGGGGGAGCTTCAACTGAACTTCGATAGACTTAAATAAAATACATCTATAGGACGTCGAGGTTGTTTATCTAGTACGGCGTAAATTTTCACACTATCTTTTATGACTTCGTATGATTGTATACTGTACGATACAAGTCCTAATTTTTTTTTTGGATTTTGAGGTCGTCGTTCGGTATGACATAAATCAACCTATTTCTCGGGCAATTTACATATGACATGTAGATATAAGTCCCGAATGTCTAAATAATTTACCTGACCGAAATATTAAATATTTTTTCTTCAAATATGTAAAATAGTATCTCCGACATCTCATACTCTTTACTCCTTTGAATTCCAAAAATAACTGTTTCACATTAAGTCTTTCACTTTAACATTCCTATAAGCAATCATGGAAACCTAAACGTTGAATTCTTGAAGACGAAACTCTAATCTTAATCGAGAGTTTTCTTATGTGACTTTGGTTGCCTAGAATATAATTAAACATAGAGGCTTGCCTCTATAGAGAATTAAGAACCCAGAATAATCTAAACTGTTTAATTTGTGTAATAGATAGGCTAATTTGTCAACTATAAAATTTGCATACCAAAATAGAGTCATAAACTTTTAAGTTTAAATAGTTAAGTCTACCAATAAGTCATATGTTCATCTTTCGAGATGATATATATCATTTGTGGTATCGTGTTTAGTTATCTAAACTATTAGACATATGAAATCTATCTGGTTTCTATGTTTTCCAAAATAAAGATTATCATTTTCAAAATCAAAATTACGTTATATATTAAATTCAAATTTAAGAAATCTTTATTTAAAAAAAAAAGGTCAACAGATGTGTGACGTACAGTCCCAGAAGAGCAGATTTATATGAACGTGTGCTCATAAGTGAAGAAAGCTCTGATGATTTGGGAGCAGGACAGCCAACAGTAGGAACCAAGTGTTGCTAAGATTGAAGATGAGAAACCATAAATTTTGACATATGAAGTTAAAGCTCCCCCAACCCCGAGAAACTGACCCGTAGAGGGAAAAAGTCGATCGGTCGAACCATATGGCATAAAGCGACAACCCAGATCCTGGACCAAGTGACCTATAGAGAGGGCGGTCAACTCGCCTACCCCTTCTATCCCCCTTTCCTTTTATGCATTTCCCTATTGGAGTCTATATATATATGTTGTTTTCATAGAATTAGGGTTATGTTATGTTGTATTGTTGTTTTCATATTCTCCTTGAAGTCTCCTTCTCCCTTGCTAGGGTTGTATCCAACGATGGGTGGTGCTTCGGTTGTATCCAACGAAGGGCGGTGCTATGGCTGCATCCTACTCCGATATGGTGTTTTATTCTTCCCAATCTTCCCCCTGCCATCCTCTCCACCTCTCCTAGCCGCCAGCCATCTTCCCCTTTATTCCCCTCCAACCCTCAAACCGCCAACCACCCCTTTGCCTACAACAAATCCTCCAGCCGCCAGCCTACACGTTCCCAACCTCGCCAAAATCCTGTTGCCAGTCCATCTCTTCCCCCTCCTTAGTCTTGTCACATGTTTTCCTGCAACCCTACCTGCTGTCCAACCCCCTATCAGCTTGCCATCTCCCTGTCACCTTCTTTAAGTGTCGCAACCTCCTTCCACCTTCCCTAACCACTACCGCCACCTCCCAATCCCCTTATAATAGTTACATCCACTACCAAAACCCCCTCACGGGCACCCTCGCTACCGTTGGATCTTCTTATCGGGCCCTAGTTGAAGATTAGTGTCTCTTACAATTTCCTTTCAGTTGAGTCATAGTTGCTTAATAAAGTTTGCTTCCGTTTCCGTTGATTTATGAATTAGCTTCGGTGTCACTCCCACTCCTCACTTTTTTTCCATAAATATAGCACAAATCGCTTGAGTTAAATTACAAATCTTATATCATAATAGGAATCAATTAATACAATATTGTAAATATCCTACTGTTAAATTAATTTAGAAAATGAACTAAGAAATGGAAACAGCACCCACAGAAAACAATTAGCAGGAAAATAAAGGTGTAAATAAACTAGACCTTGGCCAACGAAACCAAAGATTTCTCCTGAATCTCTGCAAGAGGAACTGATTTGCGAGCAGCTTCTTGGCGGACAGGATCCTCGTACTATAGTAACCCAGTAGAAAAAATTAAAATAGTTAACCAAACAACAATTAGTGTAAAAAATAGTGCATAGAAGAATCAGTGTTATGAATAAAAAAATCACCAGCAGGACCCTATTTACGTAAGGGCGAACCCTCTGCTCAAACTCCTTTGTGCCTTCAATGGCCTGGAAATGTCGGAAGAATAGAGCCTCCTCCTCTGCCTGATTGCAATGAAAAACTATCATTAAATTTCCCGAACAAAAAGGACGAATAATCATATAAGAAAAATCTAAAGCACCTGTAGCATCCGGGCCAATTCCTCATCGGACTGCCTCAATTGTTGAATGGATTCCGGTTTATCCTGTATTCCATCATCAATTGACACCAAGCAGAGCCACTCCGATATTTCCACGAGATCAGATTCTTCTGTGACGACAACATCCCTATCCCTCGTAGTAAGCTTGAAGATAAAACGATTAAGCCCAATTACGCACGATATCAATAGTAGCGAAGGAAGATGCCGGGATATAGACTTGGATGAAAAACCTTTTGCTCGTCGGGAGGAACCGAGGTGACTGAGAATATCTGAAACTTGAGAACCTAGACAGAGAGAAAGCCTTCAATTAATAAGCAAAAAATTGCTCCAGAAAAAGAAATGTGACCAGTGGGTCTGATCTGATACTTCTAAGCCGTCATCGGTGTCGTAATCGATGGGGAATTCGGTGCCGTTGTGGTGGACGACGAACCTTCGAGCCACCATTTTTTTCAGCTCGCTTCCACTTCACCTCGTCTTCCTCCTTTCCTCTGATTGTCCTTCCGGTAAATAACCATATGGATCTACTTGTCTTCAAATATATACACATAATTTTTTTTATATTTTTATATATCTAAAACATTTCATGCATACCATACGTATATAAAAATGTATCGAATATAAATTTCTCCAAAAATAATATTAATGATAAAATAAAAAATAAATTCATAACACAAAATTCTTATTTATTTTCAAATAGAAAAGCTAAATTTTTATTTTTACTCGTGCAACATTTTAATGTTTGATAAGTTTCTAAAAAAATTTATATTGAAGTCCATGAAACTCGGCACACATTTTAATGGAAAGCTTCAAAAAGCAAATTTGAATATGAATTCAATTATATTTTAAATTCCACGTGAATTTTTGTTTTTTCAATATTTTAATTATTCTTGAGTATGACATCAACTTTTAAGTAATGTGATCATTTTGTCCGAGTAGGCATAGATCATGCACTTAAAATATAATTGAAATATTTAAAATATATATTCGAAAATCAAATGATCTTCAAATCTAACAAGTTTATAGTCAAAATGAGTGTCTCGACGCGCATAATTCAACGAACCAAAAATCGCTCAACTCTGACAAAATTAAGTCACTTAAATGATTATAAAATATTATTCGATCAAAATTGACGAGTGCTAGAAAATTCACGGTAGTATAGTGATGGATTATCATCTTAGCGTTGTTCGATGATTCATCACACACTCGATGAAAGAAAATAACCAGTAGAGATATCAAAAGTGATTACGTGAAAATCCAGTAAAATTTAAAAACAAAAAAGCACGGAGTCTAGCATGGTTGAAAATTTTTTTTAAAAGTTGATGGTCACAACAACCACTTTTCACATGAGTAGGAATTTGTTAGAAGATCTCTCAATTTACAACATTGACATGTGAATAAATTTGTTACCATGAACAAGTTAGTCGAAATGTGTATGTTTGATGATTGTAGCCTATGTTGAAGTATAGTTAAATGGAGAATCCATTAAGATTGTAAGTTGTGTATCTGGAGATGTTCAACGACATTAACCTGTAACGTACAAAATCACATGAAATCCACTTATGATGGTTAACTTATCCTAAGATTGTTAGTCAAAGCTTTTATTTGACGATTGTTACCTATTATGGAAGAGATTGAAGGAATTTCACCAATTATTTTTTTACAAATCTGAGACTGTTGGTTGAAGCTTGTACTTGGTAATTGTAGTCTGTGATAGAAGATGTTGAATCAAGTCTCTCTGGGAACGAATAAGCCTAGAAGAAGGTGTCGGAGATGTTTTGTATTTCTCGAAAGTAGAACGTAGGTCGCAATTAATTCATGTTTTCTTAAAAATATGGTTGCAATCATACTCAAGAATAATATTTGGCAACTTGTCAGTTGTTGCTTTTGAATTTATTGTTCATCTGGCGAGTGTATTACCACACGAGCTTGTAAGATAGCCCGTATATAGAGCCTTGAAGAGATAAGCTTTCTAATCCGGTTGAAGAGAAACTCAAATACAATGAGGAGGTGTTGAGGAAATATTATTTGTGGTGAAGATTGCCCCTCAGTCCAGAAGTGATTCTCAAATATTTGTAGTCTGAATGAAATATGGAATGACTACCCCCACCACAGTCGTGCCTGAGACATTAACGTGAACGAACTTTTGAGAGTGCGGTAAAGGTTGGCCCCCAAGTCTAGAAGATGTTGTGAAAGACTTTGTGTTTGAAGAGGATTCAAGAAGAGAACCCCAATACAATCGTGCTTGAAACTTTTATGTGAAAAACATTTCGAGAATGCAATGAAGCTTGCCCCCACATCGAAGAATGCTCCAGATAAAATCAAACGAGGTTTCTTTGCTAGTGGGATGATGTACGTTGAGAAAATGAAGTAGGGGCTTGACGTCTCACAGTTGAAGGCAATGTCGAACGGTACTTAGTTTCCCATAGACGGCGTGAAACAATGCGTGTTATAAAATTCACAACGGTTGAGTAATGGATTATCTTCTTAGCGTGGCTCGAAGATTCAACACACACTCAAATAAAGGAAAAAATAGTAGAGATACCATGCGTTATTACGTGGAAAACTTGTAAAGGAAGAAACCATGGGGTCTAGCCCAATTGTAAAAAAATACTCTAAGTTGATGGTTACACTAACCACTTCTTCCACATGTGGGAAAGGCTTAGAAGATCTCCCAAGTTACAACATTTACATGCAAATAAATTTGTTACCATAACAGGGGTGTGAATGATAACAATAGGCGGTGACCAATAGATGGCGATCGACGACGTTTGACAGTGATCGATGGAGGTTAACGTTGGTCGACAGTGGTTGAAGGCGATCGAATACGGCGAGAGTGGTCCTAAACTTCAACTTCTTCTCAAAGCTTTAGTCTTCTTCAGGCTTCAAGCTCCCTCATCTTCCATTTTTCTCAAGAGAGGGGTGGGGCTCTAGTTATTGAGTTTCAGGTGCAATTAATGGAAGAATATAAATTACTTTGATCAGATGGTCACTTGAGCTTCCTTATCAGATGATGTATGATGAATATTTTAGTGCCTTTACATTGTCTGAATTGAGAGATTTTAGGCTCGTTGGATTATTCTTGTCGAGATGCTCGATTCAACTATAAGGTTTCTAGATTCGATAACTATTTGATCGTGTAATCGTGCTTGAAAATCTTCCAAACATGGTTCAACATCTTAATCGAGGCTTGACTTGATTCAGATTAGACCGATTTTAGTAATATTTGGTCTATCTAGTAGAGCTGGTCAGTTTGATTGTAAGTTTGCTGAAATCAGAGCTCTTGATGATTCTTAATTGAAATTTGAATATTTCTTGCTAAAAAATTGCCTCGAGATCCATGTCATGCATCTAGATATGTGTCAGATGATAAAATTTTTGTTGATGTTGTATAATAAATAATCAATATGAGTCATCCAATTTAATGGTCTGGATTCATACAATATTTACAGATGATTTCATTGATAAAATCTATAAATAGATCCTTACTCTCTTCATGAAATGAAAGGACCCGAACTTGGAAGATAAAATTGAATCTCTAAGCATTTAAGGGTTCTTGAGCTCCGCCATCGTCAAATCGCTGCTAAGAAGTCTCAGACACCGTTGGACCATCGTCACAAAGCGTTATCATTTTCTAAATGCCGTTGCCCGACCACCATCATTGAGCTACTACCACCATTAGACAACTGTTGTTGCTGCCAGGCTAGCACCTTCAAGTAGTTATCGTTGTCGGATCACTGATACCTAACTACTACCGTCAAATTGTAACCATCGCTAGATGACTGTTGTCACCATCAAGCAACTACTATCAAGCTGCCCCCACTGGAGCACCGATACATAAACATCAGCACCGAGCCACCACCGCCACCAGACCATTATATCCCGACTTCAATTGCATAGTTTTAACCACCATCAAACACTATCATTGCCACTGAACCTTAACTGCCACTGAATCATCAATGCCCGACCACCGCAATCTTATCTCCAACATCGCAGGAACACCGCTACTCGGCCACCGTTACTTAACCACCACTATTGCCTAACCACTACTTCTCATCCACTGCCCTTGAGTCGCTACCACTGTCATATCATCGTTGCCAAGTCACTTTCGCATGACCACAGTCATCACCGGACCACCATCATATGGCCACTGCCATAGCCAGACGAGCGATGCCCGTCCTCTGCTGTTGATGACGTCATACTGCCGCCATCGCCGTCAAACTATCACCTTCATCATCACCAAACTTCTACTGCTCGATCATCACGGTCGTTGCTTCTATCGCTGATGGTGACACTAGAGCTTTTAACATTCATTATCTACTATCAACTTTTATTCACAAAAATTGAATCATCACCATTTCCTCAACATTTTTTATTACTTCCCTAACGAAAAATCACATCGTACATGTAAAGTTACTTCTAATTATCAAAGTACCGATAAAATTTTTTAATCAACACCAACATAATGAAATCATTTCAACTGGATCAAACCACATGATTTTTGTCCCTCCGGGTTCTCCACGTAAAATCCCATATTATATTTTATGTCGATTTTTTTACTTGAGTGTTAAATATTCGTATAACACTAAAACATTAATATATTACTCTATCATTATGAATTTACACACATACCACAATAATTGTGTAAAAATATATACACAAAAACTCTTATTTTAAAAGTATTAGTTGTTTTTTATGGGATGCTAGATATGTGGGTGTTATCCCAAATTAGATTATGTTCTCAGGTGAGGAAATGGAGAATGTGTGTGTGTGAGAGAGAGAGAGTCAGAGAGATAATAGCTCAGATAGAGAAGCTTTGAATCTTTTATTAAACAATGTTCATAGGCAAATAATTCTATAAAAATCTTTGCATAAGAACTCCAAAATCTTATATTTTCATGGTTCATAAGTAGATAGTACCATAGAAGTTATCTCATAAAACATTTATTTTTTAATTTATTGGATTATTGGTGCTGCATGAACAACCATATAAACCGAATAATAAAAGACATATTCTCATCTGACATTGCATATGGATGTCGAGTTCATGGTCCAGGGTTGACATAAGATCATCCCAAATGAGTCTCCTATCGGTGATCATACATGGTGGCCAGCGAATTGAAACATATTGACAAATTCTTATTTTCCTTTAAAACACTTGATTGCTTAAGGCAAGTCAAAGTTGTTTAAATTTTGAGATGTTTAAATCTTAAACTCTTGTTATGATAAATATTAAATTTAATTAAATCATGAGAAATGGTTTGATAATTTATTTCATGATTCAATTTTACTAGATGAAGTACAAATAATTAATAATTAAGTATTTATTAAGCTAATTTATTAATAATAATAATTTTATTAAGCTATTTGCATGAAATGATAATTTAATATATATTACTTAAATAATTTATTAAAGTATTTAGTAGTTATGATACTTTTATTAAATTAATAGGTAAATTAATAATGATTAATTTGATAACATTAAAAATAATTAAAGCCAAAAACCTCCTTCAGCCGGACTCGTGATACATTCGCGATTCGAGCTAAGCTGGGAAGGCACCGACGGGATCGGGGCGTACGGAGACCTTGGAAACTCTCATCTTTCTCCTCCCCCTGCTCGAGGAAGGTAACCTCTTATCTCTCCCCTTTCTCCCGCTCTCCTTAGCGTGCTCAAGCTTCTCTAAATATCGTATATCCATTTTCGAATGGCATTTTCTTACTGCATACTGTATTTAAGGGAAACCGAAGGAAAACGGGATTTAAGAATCTGTAGGATTTAGGTCAAAATCTTGCTTAAATCATGCTACTAAACAGCCCATAAATCCCTATGCGTATCCACATCTCGTTTGACCTTACTTCTAAGAGATTACAGATAGTACGCAACAAAGACGCAAGCTTGTATCGTTATTTATTTTCATTTTACTTAAAAGATAGGAGCTTTTCGGTATCTAATTTTAGACGGGATTTAATCAAGATTTTGCTTATTTCCTTTACACAAATTTTTTTGGCACTTTAAATTCTATTGTTTTGATATTTTTTTTTTGGATGTTCGTGAAGAAAACAACACCATTAAATAAGTAGCAAAAGATACACTTGGAGAATCAAAAAGAAAAGTTTTTATAAATAAAAGTAGTTGAGTAGTTGATGGTGGAATAATAATGGAATAATAATGTGCAAGAAAAAATAAAATATAAGTTGTGTTATAAAAATTTATTTAAATATAAAAGATTAGAGAACTTGGAAAAAAATAAGATGACGCGAATGGAGTCTAAGAGAATAATTTGTGACGTTAAAAATTATGTTTTTAATGATTTTATAATAGATTTGATATCGAAGATGGTGAAAAAATATATATATATATATACCAGACAATTAAATAGAAAAGAAAAATAAAATTTAATTCAAGTAAAGTGTATTAAAGATGAAAATCAAAAAGTACATTTCTTGGAGGAAAATATTCATCATGGACGGGTGAGCTATATTGATAAACTTTTCAATGAAGTTTCTGAAAATACAATTGACGTTAGTTATATTAATATTGCTAATAATAATAAAACATTTTATTCTTACCGTCACATTAGTAAAAAAAAAGATGAGGAGCTTTTAAAGAAAATAAATGGTAGAAAACCAATAAGACTTGATGATATTCCGATTGAAGTGGGAAAATATTTAGGAGATTTGAGAGTTTCTTGACTTACTAAACTCTTTAATATTTTTTTAAGAACTAAAAGGTGTCTGAGTAGTGGAGGAAGAGTATTTTGGTCCAAATTTTTAAGAATAAAGGGAATGCACAAGGGAATGCACAAGAGTGATGCACAAGAGTGTGCAAATTATAGGGTAATTAAGTTGATGTGTCATACTTTAAAATTATGAGAGAGGTTCATTGAACATAGGTTAAGACGTGATGCACAAATTTCTCATAATCAATTTGGATTTATGACGGACAAGTCTACGATAGAAGCTATACATTTATTGAGAGGTTTGATGAAGAAGTACATAGAAAATAAGGAGGATCTACATATGGTTTTTATTGATTTAGAAAAAAACATACGATAAGGTTTCAAGAAAAGTCCTTTGGAGAGATCTAGAGAAGAAAGATGTTGATATGGTTTTTATTCAAGTCATTAAAGAGATACATGCTAGAGTTGTCACTTGTGTTCGAACAGAAGGAGGGTTCATCAAGTATTTTTTATTTTAGTTGGATTACATCAGGGACCGACTGTAAGCCCATATATTTTTGCTTTAGTTATGGATGCTCTTACTGGACATTTACATGAGGATGTACCGTGATGTATGCTTTTGTTGATGCTATTCTCTTATGGATAAGACTAGAGGAATAATTCAGGAATAACTTGAATTATGGAGGTCTGCATTGGAGTCTAAAGGACTTCATTTGAGGAGATCTAAAACTAAATACATGGAATGTGATTTTAGTAATAGTAGCTATAAAGGCAGAGTCGTAACTATGGGCGATCAAATCATTAAAAGGTGTGAACGTTTTAGATATCTCGGGTTTATTGTTCAAAGTGATGGTGATATAGATGAGAATGTTATTAGTAGAATTCAAGTTGGCTCGTTGAAGTGGAGGAATGCTTCGGGCCTATTGTGTGATAGAAAAGTACCACTTAAACTGAAAGTAAAATTTTATAAGATGTTGTTGAGACCTGCAATGCCCTATGACGTAGAATATTGGTCTTTCAACGAGAAGCATAAAACTAAGTTAAGTGTTGCTGAGATGACGATGCATAGGTGGATGAGTAGCTTGACACTTAGTGATCGAATGCGAAATGAATATATCCGTGATAGGGTTGGTGTAGCTCCAACATTGAATAAGCTTAGAGAGATAGTCTTCTTAGATGGTTTGGTAACATTTAACGTCAACCATCTGATGATCCAGTTAGGAGAGTAGATGTTTTAGATTCGACTTATCTTAAGAAAGACAATGACAAACCTAAAAAGACCTGGGCATATTGTATACAAAATGATCTTAATTTATTAGAATTAAATGAACATATGACACTCAATAGGACAATGGAGAAAATTGATTTATGCAACTGACCCCACTTATTGGGATATAAGCTTGTTGTTGTTGTTGTTTTGATAAATTTTATTTATGTTATGTTTTTGATTAAAATTAAGATTTGCTAAATCCATCCATTCAAAGAGTTGAATGTATTTAAGGTTTCCTTCTTCACACAAGTTTTAAATATCTGTGAAAAGCCAAGAATTGCATTAGGATATTATAAGATGCTTTCTCAAGGTTCAATCCCCTCACGATTGGCTTATTCTGGATTTAAAAAATTTGCTATATTCCACATGCATTATCTCCTATTTGTAGTCAAATAACCCAATGAGGATATCAATTTATTCCTCATTCGTTGGTAAGAATACAATTTCATAGATATCAATTTATTTAAACACCAACTTTAATTACTCTAAATTTGAAATTGAATGAGAGGAAATTCAAGAATAAGCTTTTTAAGATTGGAATTTTGTTGATAATTCATTATTGTTTCTAATCAAATCCATGAACAATAAACTCTCCTCACAGCCCTAATTGGTCCTACTAAAACCTCACATTAACCGCAAACTTTCCAATTATATTTTTTTTTGTAAATCCTACTTACCAGTCCCTCATTAGGGCCACAAGCTCCTTCATCAGCTAGTTAATACTCAACCTTTGAAAAATGAGTTTCAGGTTTATACTAGAAGGAAAAAAAATTAAGGCGAGCAATAAACATATCTCCAATATACCTAAGAACCCAATTCCTGTTATGTACCAATGAAATACAAACTAATGGGAATAAATCTATGGAGATGATACTGATCTCTACTGTCTTATTGCCTTAAAGGTATGAGGTTATGCACCAATCGTCCAATTTATGATTTCATAGATAATGAACTTTTTCTTAGATTTGATGTTGTTGCCACATATTTTAATAAATGTAGATTTCAAACATTACTCATAAGCTCTCAAACTTTTGTATGGAAGAAAGTTGTAATGGAAATAATCGAGTCCTCATTTAAAGTATACTGTGAGAAGTTGTTGAACATTCACCAGAAAATCATTAGTTGGATGTAAATGAATGTTCATTATTGAATATAAAATAGATGAGGACGTGGATAAATTTATAGCCCAATTCATTATAGAAGGGTAAGTCCAATCATATGGTATTAATTATTAGGAACCTTTCTTTCTCATTGTTGGGCATAATATAATGAGTTTTTCATTCTCTAGTTACAAATTTAGGCTTGTATTTGTATTAACTTAACAATAAAAATATATATCTTAATGAGTACCATGAGGAGAAACTATACATGAAGATCTCATCTTGATTGAAAAGTTAGAGAAAAAACAAGAAGATATGTGGATAAATTTATAGCCCAATTCATTATAGAAGGTAAGTCCATTCATATTGTATTAATTATTGGGAACCTTTCTCTTTCATTGTTGGGCTTGATAATGAGTTTTTCATTCTCTAGTTACAAATTTAAACTTGTATTTGTATTAACTTAACAATAAAAATATATTTATTAATGAGTACCATGAGGAGAAAGTATACATGAAGATCTCATCATGATTGAAAAGTTTGAGAAAAAACAAGAAGACATGTGGAATTAGAAATGCATTATATGGCCTCAAATATCCCATAGTGCTTAGTTTGAAAGATTCTCCATATTTATTGAGAAGTGCGAGCACACTTAGTGCCAAAATTATCATGCTTTGTTTATAAAGAGCTCACCTAAAGGAAAATAGATGAATTTTATCATCTATAGATGATATTATATTAACAAGTGACTTCGATGAAGAGCTAATTAGGCTAAAAGAGTTTATGATATGAAAAATTGAAGTAAAATATTTTGGATTTTAAAAGTCTCTTTTGATATGGAAGTGATGATCAAAATAATATGTTACTGTCTTTCAAAGGAAGTATATTGTTGATATATTTCAAAAAATAAGAATGCTTGCATGTAAGCCTGCATAAACTCTAATACGTAAAAAAAAAAAAAAGATCAACACTATTGACATGCATTTTGATAAAGGTAAGTTGGGAAAATTCATTCACCTCTCTTTCATATCGATATTGGATTTTCTCTTTTAGTGCTGAAGGCCACATGGAAGTTGTTAACCACTTTCTTAAATACTTCAAGCTAACTTGGAAAAGTATTGTTATTATTTTATATAAAAAGCAATCAATAAGGAAATTATAGTTTTTACTAATTAAAGACACATTAGATTGAAGGTCCACCTCTATCTATTGTATTTATGTATGTGAAAGCTTAGGTAAATGGAAAGTAATAAATAATATGTGATATTAAGAAGCAATGCTAGAGCTGAATACAAGGTAATGACACTGGATATTTGTGAAAGAATGGTGGTAAAATGATTAATAGAAGACTAAACTATCATATGAAAAAGATACTAAAATGATATAGTGACAACTATGCTAGTATTGAGTATTGCAAAAAATCTTATTTATCATGACAAGATCAAACACAATGAAATGGACTATGTTTCATTAAAAAAAAAAATAGTCTAACTATATTATATTTTAACAAACTCTTAAATTGCAAACATCTTTATTGAGGCCTTTTTATAGAATGGGCGTAGACTTGTTAAAAAAG